AACTTAGGCTACTTTTATTTTAGAAAAATAAAGTTAATTCCACGCGGACGAAGTCGCGGGAACACCTTGTTTTTAATAAAAACATCTTTTTTGTGGTACTTGAGAATGTTGAAGCCTGTTGTTTGTAATATTGAAATAACCGTTTTTTACTACTTGCATATGAATATAAATACGGTACATACACCAAAATAACATATTTTACAATTTTTGTCTGTCTGTCTGTTTGTTCCGGCTAATCTCTGAAATGGCTGGACCGATTTTGACGGGACTTTTTTTGGCAGGTAGCTGATGTAATAAGGAGTAACTTAGGCTACTTTTATTTTAGAAAAATAAAGTTAAAAACCACGTGGACGAAGTCGCGGGAACAGCTAGTGTATAATATATTAGAGATACCTACGTGTTTTTTTATTGATGACTAGCTGTACACGGGATTTCGTCCGTGTTGAATTTAACTTTATTTTTCTAAAATATAAGAAGTTAAATTCCACGCGGACGAAGTCGGGTGTACAGCTAGTTGTCGGTAGTCTAGCGATTTAGCTAGCACACTGCTTTGATTCCTGCTTGGTGGTCGAGGGTTCGATTCCTCGCACGCTGCAAACATTTGTATTCATGAGTATGATTGTTTGTAACGGTCTGGGTGTTTTCTATGTATAGATAATATATATGTATTTACGAAAAAAAATCTTTGTATTTATATCAGTACCCATAACATAATCTTCAGTTAGCTTAACTTGGGTCTAGATGAAGCTGTGTGAATTGTCCTGAGATTACTATTATTACTATAATAAATCTTTTCAAATCAGCCGATGTTTATTTTTGCCATAATACGTGCTGTTACCATGTGATAATATTACGTACGTACTTATTAAACTATTAACTTATTATTAAATTGTTTGTAACGGTCTGGGTGTTTTCTATGTATAGATAATATATATGTATTTACGAAAAAAAATCTTTGTATTTATATCAGTACCCATAACATAATCTTCAGCTTTTTTTTTTTTTTTTTTTTTTTATCGTGTGGAAAAATCTTCAAAAGACCGTCACCCCGCCGGAGGGATGGCGAGGTGGTGTGTGGGACTTGTACCCACTAAAAAACCACACGGTGTACCTACGAGCGCCTATGCCGGAGCCAGGGGATTCGCAAGTGCATTCTACCCCAGCTCCGACGGCGACGGCCCGCCCTGTAGATGTTGTAGGGCAGGCCCCATCTCGTTTTGTGGTTAGGGCGACCTATTTCGCCCTACTCCATTGTGGAGGCGTGTGGGTACACGCGCACACCTCCGGGGCCTTTGGATTGGGGGACTGCCTCCCTCAAGGCAGTCACCCCGGCCCCAGTGGGGGATAGAGGGGGGCGGAGTTGGATACGCCCCCACCTCTAGGCCTGGCTCTTCTGCGGCGGAGGGAAGCGGGACGAGCTGACTCCCGCTCCCTTTCCGCCGCCTCCTTCCGCGAGATAACTTCCTCGCAGAAGGAGCTCACCGCCAGCCACGATCTCTCGCTACTGACCATCCTCCGAACTAAATTCGGCAGCGAGAGATCGTCCCCCACTATTCGTGTGAGGACACGGCGCTCACTCTCGAACGCTGGACATTCGTCCAGCGTGTGTTGCGCCGTGTCCTCAACACCTCCGCACTCGTGGCAGCCGGTCGTCGGCTCCTTCCTCGCCACATGACACAGATACCGCCCGAAGCATCCGTGCCCGGACAGTATCTGCGTCATGCGGTACGTCAGTGGCCATCTCCTATTCATCCACCGTTTGAGGATGGGACGGACAGCCTCGATGGTCCTCAGGCCGGCTGACGGGCTCATCAACCTCGCCCGCCATTCGATCCTGAGGATCCGCCGAGAGTCGGACCTCCGCGCTTCAATCTCATGGCCAGCGGGTGCCTCCCCCATGGAACGTCGCTCCGCGCGCCAGTGGTACACTGACGCGTGGAGCTCCGCTACCAAGTCCCACGGAGGAGACCCCGCCAGCAGACCCGCCGCTTCCCCGGATATGGTGCGGTAGCCTCTTATGGCCCGTATGGCCATGACCCTGTGTGGCCTGTTGAGGCAGGCCACATTTTCCTCCCTAGGGCCCCCACCCAGATGGGGGCCCCGTACAGGGCCATGGACCGCACCACGCCGAGGTATAGGCGGCGGGAACCTTCTCCCGGGCCCCTCACATTTGGCAGCAGCCAGCTAAGAGCGCCGGCGGCTGCCATAAGGCGAGGGACCAGGTTCCGGAAGTGAGCGCGGAAGCTCCAACGACTGTCCAGGTCAAGCCCCAAGTATCGAATACAGGACTTGACCCCCACCCTCTGGCCACTGACGACCAGCTGGGCATCCGGAGGTGGCGCACGCCGAGGCCCATGAAAACACAGGACCTCGGTCTTCTCCAGCGCCACCTGGAGCCCAAGCCTTCTTATACGGCCGACGACCAGCGCCACGCATGCCGTGGCAAAGCGGGTAGCCTCCAGTAGGTCCCGCCCCCGGGCAGTGACCAAGGTGTCATCCGCGTAACACACGAGGTCAGTGCCCGTTAAAAGGGCGCCCCGCAGGTTCCAATCATACCCGATGTTCCACAGGATCGGGCCCAGAACCGACCCCTGTGGAACACCGCGTTGCATTTCCCTCGGCACTACAACGCCGTTCCGCCCCGTGCATAGCACAGACCTGTCTTCGAGATAGGCCCCGATCACGTCCCGAATGTAGGGAGGCGCGCGATGGTATTTCAGCGCCTCCCTAATAGTCGCAAAGGGCAGGGTGTTGAAGGCGTTCTTAATGTCTAGAGAGACCGCCAACAACACCCCACCCTGGGACGTCGCCTCTTCCGAGAGGGAGCGCACACGCGAGATCGCGTCGATCGTCGAGCGCCCCTCTCGGAACCCGAACTGCTTCGGGCTGAGATCGGGACCTACCTGAGACAGGTGTTGGACGAGTCGGCCCGCCAAAATTCGCTCGAAGAGCTTGCCGATCTCGTCCAACAGTACTATGGGGCGGAACGCCGAGGGAACCACCGAACCTGCGGGGTGCTCCGCTTTGCGGAGCAGGACCACTCTACCCGCTTTCCACTGATTGGGAAACCGTCCCGACTCCAGACACGCATTGAACAAGCGCCGGAGTCGGTCCCCTAGGGTGTTTAGGGCCAAGGCCAGGACGCGGCCGTGGATACCATCCGGACCCGGGGCGACATTCTTGCCCCGGAGTTTATCCACGGCCGCGGCGAACTCCTCCTCGGTAATGGCAGGAACCGCAGCAGCGCTGACGCCGCTGGCCTCTCCATCACTGCCACGCGGCATCATCGGAGGAGGTGTGAAGGGAGGCTGTCTCGGGAACAGCTCCTCCAACACCCCCTCCAGCTGCCGCGGCTGGAGACCCTCTGCCACGGGGGGCGCCCAGGGGCGTAATTTGCCCCTGACGAACCTATAAGGGCGCCCCCATGGATCCCTGTCCAGGGTCTCCAGGAGTTCTTCCCTGGCTGTCTCCTTGGCCCTGCTGATGGACAGCTGCAGAGCTTTCTTCCTCTCTTTGTACTGCTCGTACAGCTGTGCTTCCTCGTCGGCGTCGCGGCCCCGCCTGAGTCGGCGGTGCCTGGTGTACCGGCGGCGGGCGGCGGAGCACTCCTCCCTCAACGCCGCTATCTCCTCCGACCACCAGTACACCTGACGCCTAGGAGGTCGAGGGCCGGCTCGGGGCATCGCCGCGTCGCAAATGTGCGACAGAGCCTCACCGAACCAGCCCACCTCTTCGTCGACCTCCACAGGCCCCTCCGGTATGGGAACCCAGGCCTGGACGATGGAAGCCTCCATCAGCACGTCTTTATTCAGACGTTTCAACACCCATCTGGGGAGTTGTGGGACATTCCTCTCCTGGCGACCGGGGTGCGGAGCTACGGGTGAGGGGAGAACGTCTATCCGAATGTAACGATGATCGGATAGAGTCTCCACCTCATCCAACACCTGCCAGCTCCGCACCCTCTGTGCGATCGCTGGACTGCAGAGGGATACGTCGACATGCGACTCCCCCTGCTGTCTCACGCACGTGGCGGCCGACCCTCGGTTCAACACCACCAGGCCGGCCGCGGCCGCCCAGTCTTCCAGGACCCTGCCTCGAGAGTCGGTGATGGGGGAGCCCCATGCCGTGGATTTGGCATTGAAGTCCCCCATCACCATCATTGGACGGGCCGAGTATAGCTCCAGAGCGGCCCCCAGCCCGTCCATGAACTGCTCGAACTCGGCGAGAGTCCTGTTCGGAGAGAAGTATGTCCCGACAACGACGGTTTCCCCCCAACTCACTCCTATGTACCCCGCTCCGCCGAATAGGCGGCTGACGAGCGGGGTCGCGGGGTTGCCCGCGCCGACAATGGCCACCAGGCCAGAGGGGTCGCCGCCAGACGATATGGTTCGGCGACCACTGCAAGGTTAACTCCCCACTGCACCGCGCTCTGCAGAAGCAGATCCTGGGCGCGCGCGCAGTGGTTGAGATTCCCTTGCAGGAGGCGATGGACTGCCATTATTGACCGGTGTCCATTACCTCAGCCTCTCCCCGGCGGCCATAGCCGCGGGTTGACGACAGTGCGGATCCCCTCGCTCTCTTGGACCGGTATTGGGGGCACTTTTTGGCCCCCACCCGGTGATCGGCTGGGCGACCCGCCGCTGCGCAAACCACGCAGTGTGGGGCCGCCGAACATCCGGCCGCTTTGTGGCCGGGAGCCCCACACCGGTAGCAAAGGCCACTCCGGTCCTCCTCGTGCGAGCACCGTGCCACCACGTGCCCGCTCTCGAGGCACTTGTAACACCGGAGTGGCTTCTGCCGCAGCAGCTCCACAGCGGCTGAGACCCAGCCGATCCGGATCCGCCCTGCCGTCGTGACCTTCTTGACCGCGGCCAATGGGGCCCGCACCCAGCAGGTGCCCAGGCCCGACGCGCCGCGCCGAATCTCCCCGACGTTGACGGCGTCCGCCGTGCACTCGCCGTGTTGTGCCACGGCGGCCGCCACCTCTTCCCGGTCGGTACCGTCATCCAGGCCCATGACCCTCATCTCTGCGGTCTTGGTGGGCCTGGCAATGCGGACCGTACCGTCCGGGAACACGTCCCGGAACTTCGACGCAAGCGCGTCAGCCTGGTCTCCCGTCTGGGATCCCGGGATCTCCAGGATCCGGGCCCCAGTAGCCGCGGTCTTGAAGCGTAAGCTTCCAATCCCCAAGGAGGCGAGGTCGATTTTATCCTTCGCCTCCTTGAGGACGGCGGAGTAAGTCACCCCCGCCGCTTCTGCCTCCGGACACAGGGTGACCACCACGGCCGCCGATCGCGGCGCGCGCAGCTTCGACGGTGACGGCGGGGCCGCCTTACCCTTCTTCCCCTGAGAGGGAGTCCCAGAACTCCTCTGAGTACTTTGCGTACTCTGGGTCTGCCTCTCAGGGACGTTGCGTGTTTTGCCGCCCCGCTTCACCACCGTGCTCCATCCGTCCTGGCGCGCCATGCCCGACGGCCCCGGCTGCTGACTGCCGGAGGCAGGCCGGCTGACGGGCTGACTCGCTCCCAACGGCGGGAACGCCGCACCTCGCGCCCCCCGCAGATGGGGAGCGTCCCTGAATCCCGGTCCCCCTGCGCCGGGGATCCTAGACAGGACGTCATATTGCCCGTCGCTTTGTAGCGGCGGGCGGTGCTCAGGGCGGATTGAGGTCGCCGGGGAATTGAGGCCCAGGGCAGCCTTGATCTCCCTGATGCCCTGCTCAATGCGTTCTCCTATTCGGGCCTCTATCATGACCCCGGTCGCCCTCATTATGTCCGCCCTGAGGGTCTCTGTGTCGCCCGGCGCAGGGGCCGGGCCAGAAGCGCTCCCCACTGCCGATCCCTTTGGGGCCGGGGAAGGAGTCGGAGGAGTCCGTGACCCCGACTTCACCACTTCGGCGAGTTGGCGAATCTGCTCCTGGAGCTGCCGGATCTGGCTTTGGAGCGCCTTATTCTGTTTGCGGAGCTCCTTAGCCTCCGCCTCCATCCTGTTTTGGCCGACAGCCACCGAGGAGAATTCGCCGGCCACGGAGGAGTTCGGGTCTAAGGCCTCCGTCAATGCCATGACGGTCCCGATCTCCTCCGTCATCGCCCTCTGGTCGGTCCCCTTCAGGTTGCCGCACCTCTTAACTCTGTTGAGGACTAGCGACAACCTGTACCTGGCATCCGACGAGAAGGCGGCCACCGAAATCGGGTCACTTTTGGGAGCGTTCTTCCCCTTCGAGACCTCCTGCGGACGGACGAACACGACGTCGTCATCCGACGCATCCGCCCGTCGGGACTCCGCCGACGTCGATGGCCCCTTTCCGGCCTGGTCCACATGGAAGCGGAGGGACGCTCCCGCCGGAGTCGGTGGGCAGGGTATTTTAGATGGGCGAATACCTCCGCCCACCGCCCCAGAGGGGCTCGATCCGCCTTCATGTGGCCGCTTGGAAACGGCCGCCTTCACTAGCCCGTCCTCGCTGGACACAAGGCAACCCGACAGCTCGTCCTCCACCAGCATCGAACGCGTCGAGCGCGTCGAGCGCGTCGACGAGGCCGATGAAGGACGAGAAGCGCGCGACCTGGCCCGCGAGGCGGGCCGCGACCTCGCCGGTCGATCCTCCATGTCGAGGTCCGCCTCGGTCACTGAGTCCATGGACCAGAACTCAGCGTTCCAAGGGGACGAACTCTCCTCATAACCCCCTCCGGGGAACGGGAAGAGGAAGGGCGCGTACCTATCTAAGGTTGCCACACCCACAGCCTGCAACCAACAATGACCACTTCCAACTTAAGTCGGAAGGGTGTTTGGGAGGCGAGCGCCTCCAAAGCCTACTCCGGGGATCCCCCCGGAGCGGACACACCGGGTAGGAGTGTGATCCCCTGCACAGTGCAGCCGCCCCCGGTGAAACACCACACTACCACCTCAGAACATAATCTTCAGCTAGCTTAACTTGGGTCTAGATGAAGCTGTATGAATTGTCCTGAGATTACTATTATTATTAATTGGTACACAGGTAAACTATTAACTAGGCCATATTGGTGTTATTTGTTATGGTGAGAAAACTAGTAGGTATATATATAAGTTACACGTACAATTTCAAAGACTTATTTCTTGAAAACTACTGGCTATTCTGAAATAAAACTTTAGTGTTTGTATATGTAATGTTTGCATATAAAATATGATTAAAGGTTACCAGTGTATTTACACTTTTACTGAACAAACAGAGTTGTTTAATACTGAAAATATTGTGTGGAAGGCATCAATTACTTTCAGTGCATGTATAGCTTTTCTCTTTTCCTAATTATTATTATTATTAAGTTTAAAGTGGTTGAATTTTACGTAAGGGGTTTTTATACATTATTTCTAATGTACCATTTATTTTAAGTTTTTTAAACTCTATTCATCGAGACCTATCTAATGAGTCCAAACACGATATTTCTGCTGTAAGTTTTCGAAGAGTATGTTCATCATCTGATAATACTGGTGCCAGCATGAAGTCAAGGTTAACAGATAACTAATTACTTTTATTTCGTCAAAATCTTTAGATTACGTATAATAAATTCATAATATCGCTACCTATTCAAATCAAAACAAGTATTAGGTACTTCATGTACTAGTATATAAATTCATCAACACACAAGTAAATGATTTTTAAATATATTCAGAGCCAAAAAATCTTTGTGCATTTAAAAAAAAAAAATGCCGATACGGATTCACTATTGCAGGAAATTGTTGAAAAAATATATATCGAGTATAAGTATCTACTACTATCGACGAATACATTTGGCAACAACGCATGGTCTCGGCCGGAACGGCAACATCGCATATTAGAATACAAAGATAGTGATAGAAAGAGAGAGACAGTGGATCAGCAATATCTACGGATCGTGGCTGGATCAACTAAGTGTGCAAGTGTATATAAATATATATATATATATACATTTGTCTTTAATTCAAAGGAAATATAAATAATGAACGCATCACATTTAAAACAGTATAAATAGTTAATAATTTAATAATAAGTTAATAGTTTAATAAGTACGTACGTAATATTATCACATGGTAACAGCACGTATTATGGCAAAAATAAACATCGGCTGATTTGAAAAGATTTATTATAGTAATAATAGTAATCTCAGGACAATTCACACAGCTTCATCTAGACCCAAGTTAAGCTAGCTGAAGATTATGTTATGGGTACTGATATAAATACAAAGATTTTTTTTCGTAAATACATATATATTATCTATACATAGAAAACACCCAGACCGTTACAAACAATCATACTCATGAATACAAATGTTTGCAGCGTGCGAGGAATCGAACCCTCGACCACCAAGCAGGAATCAAAGCAGTGTGCTAGCTAAATCGCTAGACTACCGACAACTAGCTGTACACCCGACTTCGTCCGCGTGGAATTTAACTTCTTATATTTTAGAAAAATAAAGTTAAATTCAACACGGACGAAATCCCGTGTACAGCTAGTCATCAATAAAAAAACACGTAGGTATCTCTAATATATTATACACTAGCTGTTCCCGCGACTTCGTCCACGTGGTTTTTAACTTTATTTTTCTAAAATAAAAGTAGCCTAAGTTACTCCTTATTACATCAGCTACCTGCCAAAAAAAGTCCCGTCAAAATCGGTCCAGCCATTTCAGAGATTAGCCGGAACAAACAGACAGACAGACAAATATTGTAAAATATGTTATTTTGGTGTATGTACCGTATTTATATTCATATGCAAGTAGTAAAAAACGGTTATTTCAATATTACAAACAACAGGCTTCAACATTCTCAAGTACCACAAAAAAGATGTTTTTATTAAAAACAAGGTGTTCCCGCGACTTCGTCCGCGTGGAATTTAACTTTATTTTTCTAAAATAAAAGTAACCTAAGTTACTCCTTATAAATCAGCTACCTGCCAAAAAAAAGTACCGTCAAAATCGGTCCAGCCATTTCAGAGATTAGCCGGAACAAACAGACAGACAGACAGACAGACTAAAATTATAAAAATAGTTATTTTGGTATATGTACCTTATATATATTCATATGCATGTAGTAAAAAACGGTTTTTTCAATATTACAAACAGACACTCCAATTTTTATTAAATGTATAGATGTATAAATTATTATTTATTTATTTATTTATTCATCCAAAATAATACAAATTGTGTAGGATAACGTAATAGTAACATTACAGTAAAATTTTGTCAATAACATAATAGCAACTTAAACATTAAATCTCGGTATATCTATAGACTAGCTGGCCCCAGCGACTTCGTCCGCGTGAAATTTTATTTTATTTTTCTAAAATAACAGTAGCGTAAGTTACTCCTTATTACATCAGCTACTTGCCAAAAAAAGTCCCGTCAAAATCGGTCCAGCTATTTCAGAGATTAGCCGGAACAAACAGACAGACAGACAGACTGTACTATGCTATACTATGTATTGATTGATATACCTAAAATAAATATAATATCTGAGGTTTGAACAAAAACTCAAAGGGTAATTTATTTTGAAAAAGTATTTTGAAAATACCTATTTTGCTTTTAGTGTTATAGTACTTTAACTGTTATGTTTTAAGTAACAATGTTTAATTATAATTAATACTACTGCACCAACACTCCGATCGTGCAAAAAAATTTGCTGTTTCATTATTTTTTAGTTCAATTAGTGGTCTACCTAAGTTCTGGGCTAAGGGGGGGGAGAGTCATGACGCCCCCATGACTCCCATGACCTCCATGACGCTACCCCCTGGATCCGCCGTTGCGTCTTCTCTTTATTCGCTCAGTAACGTTGTTACAAAAGAAAAGATTCCCATCCAAAAAATAACAAGTATTGAGGTTTGATCTGGAGTCACGTTACTCCAGACTGATTTCTATAAATATTTAGATTAGGTAGACTATTATTTTTGAAATACTAGCTAGACATTATTAAGTTACTGTAGCCATAATGTAGTAGCCCAAACGTGCCAATGAGGAAGCCCTTGGCAAATGCTGCACCCTGATTGGCCCGTTTGAATTGGATCAAGAACTGCTCGTATGCCAAAAAGGTGGATTTGTATAAAATCGTGTATAAATCGCTTAATTATTATTATTACTCGTCGTGACAGTTGTGGCTCAAAACGGATCAACATTTATATATGGTCATCTGGCATTAGATCAACAAAAGGCCTCCGGATCAACAAGTGAAAAAGGATCAACAAAAAACTACCTATACGGCACGTCTGAGCCACAAAGTGCCCAAGGGGATATATATATATATATATATATATATATATATATATATATATGTATATAAGTCAATTATCTATTAATAAGTCTCTCGACAAATTAAACCATGCGTTGCTCTGTAAAACAAAGTAATTTTATTAACTCTTTTACAATTTTTGTTACAAACAAATTACAAATTATAAACGAGTTATCGTAATACAACAAAGATTACCTGTAAAACAAAGAAACTACATTTAATGTTTATTTGTCGATCTTTTTCCACTAAAACACTTTTATTTTCAAACACTGTCACTCACAATCTCAGTTTCACAATCCACCACCATCATCATCATCCTCTGCTTCTTCCTTATCCCATTTATTTCACAATCCACCATATTTTTATTAATCTTTAACAATTTAAAGACCACGGACTGGAAGACGCAGTGTGGGAAGGCCTCCAGCAAGGTGGACCGACGATCTGGTTAAGATCGCTGGAAGGCATTGGATGCGAGCAGCGCAGGACCGATCGTCGTGGAGATCCTTGGGGGAGGCCTATGTCCAGCAGTGGACGTCTTCCGGGCTGCGGTGATGATGATGATGAGCAAAGGTGGAGTTATGTCTAAAAGAGATCTCTACGAATTTTACCTAAGTGCCGTTTGAAGTACGAAAGTCAGTAATTCGTTTTATGGAAATTGCGTAAGGTTTTACAATAAACTCCCAGAGTCTGTAGTCAATTTGGCAGAAAAAAAATTTCAAATGTGTCATAAAATATTTTCTTTGTAAAAAATTTTATTATAAAATTGAAGAATTTATAAATGATAATAATGTTTTTGTAGAAAATATCTAACTTAAAATTCAAAGCGCTGACAATGTTATCTGATTGAACAGATATTAAGTGCGTAGCGGTTTCTATGTTGATTGTCGTATGCCTAATCCTTGTTATTAATTAAATATAAGTAAATCAATATTTATTTAAAAGAGCAACATACAAGTTCTTGCTTATTCTTCTTGTGATGAATCTGCATTCCGAATAAGCGGTAGAATAAAAAAACTTGACTATTCAAAAGTGCTTATATTAAGTTTATTTGAATAAAGAATATTTCTATTTCTATTTCTATTTCTACCAGTCAACCGAACAGTGAGGCATAACTATTAGTGAGTGGGTGACACATGTGCAATTAACAATATTATATTGTAATGTCCAAAACGTTCAGGTGGTTCAGGGCCTCAAGGAGAGAAACCGGCGTACAATGCGGGCAGAATCTAAGAGCACCGCTTTCTGCATCTTTCCCGGGAGCGAGCCGCCTCGGAATCCCAACCGTCTGAGATATTGTTCCAGACTGGATGGGATGAGACCATTCACCGACATAACGATTGCAATAATTTCGGTGGATATATATTTTTTTTATTTTCTCTCAGCTTTTGCTGTTTTTTTTTTATTTTTTTTTTTATTATTATTATCATTATAAAATTAGATACACTTGTGTTACAATACATAGACACCTTAATATCGCTGATGAAGAGCGACCTAGATTCTACATGGAC